GAAAACAGAGGCCAGGCTTTGGGAGTTCTAACCCAGTCCTTATGACCTGACTCAGGCCTGTTGCCTGGTTCTCAAAACAATTAGACTCTGTGACTGCCAGATGGCCTTCATGTCTGCAGGTCCTGGCTGCAATGGCCATTTTAATTAAGGAAACCTCTAAACTTAAACTTGGCCAATCCTGGAAGTTTTGGCTCTCCACTCAGTTGAACTCATCCTGGAAGCAAAAGGTCATCAGTGGCTGGCTAGCAGCAGGCTCACTAAATATCAAGCCTTGCTCTTAGATGCCCCTGATATAACTCTCCGGGTATGCCATGCTCTCAACCTAGCAACCCTTTTCCCAGACAGCCACACTCAGATGCTCCGATTCATAATTTCGAGGAGACCTTGGACTTGGTCTATTTCAGTAGACCTGATCTTAAAGATCTCTCTCTCTTTCTCTAACCTGGAGGCAGAGTGGTATACAAATGGGTCCAGCTTTGTGGAACAAGAGAGGAGGAGAGCTGGGTATGCAGTAGTTAGCCTCCACTGCACCATAGAGGCCAAACCCTTGCCTCCTGGGACCTCTGCCCAGAAGGCAGAACTAATAGCACTCACAAGAGCCCTAGAACTAGGGGAAAATAAAAGGGTGTATATTTTTACTAACTCAAAATATCCCTTCCATGTTCTACATGCCCATGGAGCAATTTGGAAAGAAAAGGAATATTTGACAATATCAAATATGCACAGGAGATCTTACATCTCCTCCAGGCTGTTCAGAAACCATTTGAGATAGCTGTTGTATTTTGCAAAGGCCACCAGAAAGGGGAAATGGACTAGGCTGTGGGAAATAGCCTTGGGAGATACTGCTGCCCACCAGCTAACTGTACTGGTTCTTTTACTCCCATGGCTCCCTGATTCCTTCATACCTTCCTACAGCTCCCAAGAACAGGCCCTTGCTAAAGAAAAGGGATACTCTCTTTCCCCTCTGGATGGTTTCAGACACTTCCAGGTCAACTTCTTATCCTAGAAGAAAGCCAGTGGAAGCTTCTTTTTGGCTTATACCAGGCTGTATGCCTAGGGGAGAATGCCCTCCAGAATTTGCTTTCATATTATAAGGATAAAGCCTATTTTTACTGGCAATAAGCTAGGAGAAACCACCTGGCAAGTCTGTCGGGCTTGCCCAACATATGCCCAGGTAAATTCTGAAAGGACAGTCAGACCTCCCCTTCTTTTAAAACCTGTTCAAAAGAGGGGTACCTACCCAGGTGAAGACTGGTAGATAGACTTCACATATATGCCCCCATGCAGGGGTTTCAACTTGCTTTTGGTTTTTATTGACACCTTTACTAATTGGGTAGAAGCCTTTCCTTGCAGAACTGAAAAGGCTCAGGAGATATCAAAGTTCCTATTAAAGGAAATTATACCTTGCTTTGGCTTGCCTAGTTCCTTACAGAGCGACAATGACCTGGCTTTTATTTCACAGATAACTCAGGCTATGGCAGAAGCACTTAAAATCACTTATCACCTTCCCTCTTCCTGGCATCCTCAATCCTCTGGAAAAATAGAGATCCATGCTGAATGTTATTTTGGAAGAGGCTAGTTGGATGGAAGAAACCCATGACAACTTCAGTGCCCCCAAACCATTTTCTTCATGGGGATCCTGGCTGCTTTCTCTGCTAGTACTCATACTTATTCCTCTCCTGATCATATTCTTCTTATTCCTATTTGACCCTTGTTTGTTTAACCTCATTGCCAAATTTGTCTCCTCCAGGCTCCAGGTCATCAACTTCCAGATGAGTTCTCTGGCTGTATACCAACTTTGTCTGGCCCCTAACCCACTGTAAACCAATAGACCTGGCATTGGCCAAGTTCTGAAGTCTGACCCCTTGAATGGGACCCAGTAAGGCAGGGACAGCTCTGCACCCCTTACAAGCAGTAAGCAGTTTCAGAAACCAAGACCTTTGCTCCTTACCCCAAAATATTTTGTGTCCCATTTGTTTGAGGGGGGAATGATGGGGTAATGGGACCTAGAGCCCTAAAGGAAAAAAGACCACATTTCTGGAAGCAACCCAGTACATCTAATTAGCCTACCTGATATTCCTTTCACTTTTGCACTGGTCCATCCCAGGTGTCACAGCACTCCTTAATCCTACCCAGATCCTTTCACTGTACCTTTTGTATATAAGCATCAGACTCATCCTCATTAGTCTGCAGGTTCACTAGGAACTTCATGCTTCTATTGGCATTACAATAAACTTTGCCACTTGACTGGAAGATGGTTTGGATGTGCGAATTTGTTTTAGTCAACTCCACCTTGTACCCTGACATTTCAGGGTTCCCAGAAGCCATAAACCTCATCAATATGACGTCAATTTAAAGGCAGCTAAACCTATTAAAAAACCTATCAATGCTTATGTTTATCTGGGAGTGACAGTTCCATGCCAGTCACCTTCAACTACCTCTGTACTGCCAGTGAAGGAAAGAAAAGGTGGATGATGAAGGCCTACCTGTGTACCATTTTGTCCAGGATCTGAAGGCTCTCAACAATTTTGTCATGCTAAGAGCCCCCGTGGTTCTGAATCCTGTTTCTGTTGTCACCAACGCTCCACACAATATGAAAGCAAACTCTGTTATTGCCTTGTGTGCTGTTTTTTTTTTTTCCCCAGTGGTAAACTGTAGGTAGACCCAGACTCACAGAACTTTTACTGCCTTTAGTTGGAAGGATCGGCAATACATGTGGACTGGGCTGCCTCAGGGTCATGGTGAATCTCCCACTCTATTCACACAAACTCTTGTCAAGGACCTACAAGATGTGCATCTACCCAGGAGCCTGCCCTAATTCAATATGTTGATGACTTATTGCTTGCCTCCCCCTCACAAGGAGCCAGTGAGGGAGGCAACATTTTCTTCTTAAGCTGAGTTTATGGAAAGGGCAACTGAATCTCCCCTTTAAAGTTACAGTTTGCTCTTCTCATAGTGGAGTACTTGGGGTATGAACCAGAACCAGGCACTAGGTCCTTGACAAATGATAGGATGCAGGTGAGAGAAAGGATAATTAAATAACAAATTATTGGGGAGATCTCTGACCTTTTCTAAAAATTTACCCCACCTAGACCATCTTATCTAGGTGGAATTGTTGCTAGAAAACCTTACAAAGAGATTCAAGCACTGTGAAATCCTGCACATTGTATTTTAGTTAGTCAGGTCTGAGTAGAGGTGGACACCCTTTTAAATTGCCCTAGGTGGGGTTAGTCTGGATTAGAGATAAATGTCTTTGTCCAATTAGCTTTCCCAGCCCCTCAATAGAATAAGCCCGCCCCTCATTAGAATAATCATTCTTCTCATTGTTAACCAATCAGAGTTGATTGCCACCCTCAGGAATACCCGCTCTTTCAAGGGCATACAAGTGTTAAGTGGATTCCAACAGAGATCTTTGGCATTTGAGAGTGCCACTGACCTCTTTTACTAATTGTCTGATAACATAATCAATAAAATAATTACAGAAATGATGTCTCTTGAACTTTTTATACATCACATAGGGTATCCTTCAAATGTTAATATCAAAAACAAAACACCAGGTACATGTCCTGTTGGGAACTGTGGGATACTGCCACCATTAGATTCCAGCACTGAGGAAACTCTCTAAGGAACCAGTTGCCTATGTGGCTAAAGAGGCCCTGAGGCCCTCACATCCTCAGAGGCCTTGAAGGAAATGCTTCAGCAAGTGAAGTGGGTGATGGCCTCCCCACCATCTCTGGAACTGTCTGCTTATGACAAACCTCTTTCCCTTTTTGTAGATGAACAGAGAGATGTTGCATAGGAAGTCCTCACCTAGAGGCTGGAGCTCTATCATAGCTCCCTTAGTTACTACTCTTGCTAACTTGATCCAATGGTGCAAGATGCTACAGTGCCCTGGGCTCTCATGACCACCACTGAGCTTGCGAAAAGGACCCAACTTCTTGTTTCGGCCAGCCCTTGACTGCCTGCATGCCTCATAGTGTTGTTGCCATTTTACTCCAATCCAAGACTTAAGCTTCTCCCCCCACAGCTAGTGGCTGCGTGTGAGGTAAGCCTTTTGTCTTATCCTCCCCTTTCCCTGCAGCACTATAATGTCTTAAAGCCAGCTACTTTTTTTCCTGAATCCCTAAAAGACCATGCAGTGCCACATGATTACCTTGAGGTCACTGAAGCCACAGAGAGACCATGGCCTGATGCCTCAGATGTCCCCTGGGAGGAACTCGATCTCACATTATTCACAGATGGCTCCTTCTTTTATGAAAATGGTGTATGAGTGACTAGGGAAGTGATCGTGTCCCCCCAGTTGTTGAGTAGGAAGCTACATTGTATAATGTAATTGAGGCAGAGGGAGTTGAGTTGATGGTGTTGACTAGGGCGTGCCAGCTGACCCTGGGGCTCTGAGTGAACATTTACACTGATTGCAAATATACCTTTGGGGTCTATAACACCATTGGTGCCTTGTGGAAGCAGCGTGGATTCATCGCTGCAAATGATAAACCAATAGCGCGTGCCTTACTTATTGACCGACTCCTTTAAGCCGTCTTGCTCCCAGAGGCCATCTCTGTGATGCATTTCCTGGCCCATACCAGAGGATGTTCATTTTTGCAAGGTGGCAACTGGTTTGCAGATGAGATGTCCAAATGGTCTGGGATCCTCAAGAGCTGCCCAAAACACTGCTTATTCTATCTGCTGGCACAACAAATGACTGTTCTTCCTTAGTCACAGAGGCTAACATTGACATCTTGGTGACCAGACATAAAACCATTCTACAAGACAGGATGTGGATCATGCCAGGTGGGGGCCCCATTGCACCTAAATGATGAGTGTGCCTCCTGTGTCAGCAACTCCATGTCTTGGGACATATAGGAACTGAGGCCCTTTCACACAAATTTGCTGATCATGGTTTGCCCCTGGTGTATATGCAGAGGCCCATTGTGCTGTCTCTAGTTGCCTTTCTTGTCAACCATTCAACTCCTTGAGGAAGAAAACTATGACAAAAGGGGGAGAAAGTTGGTGACTCTACCATTTGAACACCTGCAGACTGACTTTATTGAACTGCCAAAGTCTATGGGTTACAGTTATGTGTTGGTATACAGACAACAATTGAACCATTGAGTAGAGGCCTTGCCAGTGACAACATGCTGCAGCAAACTCAGTGTCAAGGTGTCTGATCAAGGACAGAATACTAAGATCTGGCCTGCCATGTACTATTGAGTCAGATCAGGGGCCACACTTTACTGCAGAAATAACTAAGCAACTCTCCAAGTGTTTCAGGAACCTCTGTACCCCTTATCACTCACACAATCATCAGGGGGAGTTGAGTGGTTAAATAGACCCTTTTTGGAAAATTATGCCAGGAAACACAGTTAAAATGTCCTCAGGCACTTCCCCTTGTGTTGTTCTAGAAGGCAGGACTGTGGATTATCACCTTTTGAAATTCTGTTCAGTAGATCACCTACTGCTACTTCAAGGTTGGACCCTCAGAACCTGAGTCTGGCCACAGGGGATGAAAGCCTGATGAGATATGTGATCTCTGTCCAGCTCTGTTTCACAGGTCTGGAAGGAGGCAGCCGTGACACAAATTCTGCCTTTGGAAAAGTAGATATATTAATTTGTGTGAGGTGTGGATCCGCAACTTCAGGAAGACATCTAGTCTCCAGCCCTCTTGGAATGGGCCTTTCCAGACCCTGCTGACCAGACATATTGCCATCAAGGGTGCCAAGTAGATAGCCTGTATACATCATTCCCATGTGAAGCCTGCTGTGATTGACCTTGGCTTAGCAGAAGCAGCAAACTCTGATCAGCCAGAAACCTCAACAGCAATCAATGATCCTTGGTCACCTGTTTGTTTGACTCTGATAATTAGGACCTAATACTTCATCTGCAATCTACCATGTATTTGTTTTCTTCACTTTATGCCCTGCTTTATGCCCTTGGGGATGGAACAGGAGACCCAGCACTTACGTGTGTCTGATCCAAAATGCCCTCCATGCCTTTAGCTGGACCAACTGCTGGATACATGCACATGTTCCTTTGGCCTTGGGGGAAGGGATACCCCCTGGTAGGCATGGGCTCAGATGTCCAGGACTTGCATGACTATGCTTTTGCAATCATTAAGGAAAACTTACACAAAATGTGAAATTGTATTGTTACAGGCTGGAAAAATGATTTCTCTCACTCATTTACCTTTAGTTGGAAAAAGACTGCTAACCTTTCACAATTCTGGCCTCCCCTGAGTTTAAGCTATGTTATTAGGCCATTGATACTGTGCTATGAGCAAAATGAGACACAAGGGCAAAAAAATGAGATGCCAAATTATACGTACGTAATTATACGTACCCCTAAAACAGAATGTGACTATTTGGGAATGGAATGGTCTTCTGAGAAAGTGTTAAGTTAGGAGGCCAGGCACACACAAGTAAATTTTTTAGGAAAGCCCCACAAGGACTTCATTTCTTGTGTCCCGATAAAACTTATTAGTTTCCTCAAAATTGGCAGAGACAGTGAGGAATGGAAAGAGATCTTTTTGTTTTCCAAGCATCTACCCTGCCTCTTAGCACCTACTTGCAGAACAAACATATAGCCATCCATCCTATTGCCTGTGTATTGGGTCAGACACAGTTTAGCACTCTTCAATAGAATGAATGAATTTTTACAGATTCGTGTTAATGAATCCACAGATGCTATGGATGAACCTATGCAGAGATCTATATCCTTGGAGATGTGGTCTTACAGAACAGACTCCTCTGGATTACCTCCTCACAGAGTGGGGAGGGTGATGTGCCCTCTTAGGTCAGGAGAGCTGCATATGGGTTCCTGATAATTCTGATAACATTCACGTCCATCTGGTCTCAATACAAAAATGAGTTCTAGGAGGATGAGAAAGAATGCTGGTCCCCCATGGCAATGGTTAACTTCTTGGCTTCCTGATCTCTCATGGCTGGAGTATCTGTTTGTGGACCTTCTCATATGTTTTGTCATGGGGATTGTATGTTGCTTATGTTTACGGTGTCTCCCCCAGTGTAAGGTACTACTCCCAAGGCCTACCTTGTATTATAGGCAGCTGAGATTAAGATGATGCAGTTAAAGACAGAGGAATGATATAGGTCCAATTGCGGTCTTGCACCACCAATCAGCATACTTTTGCCCTTATATGAAAGTTGTTTACTCCAGTCTATAAAAACTGGCTCAGTTCATAATGGGTCTGGTTGCACTCTAACTGCTTGCTGCCTTGGTGTGCTAATAAAATACTTTCTCCTTTCTTTTCCTGAGTTTGCCTCATTGACCAGGATGAGGCCCGAACCAATATTTCTTTTAACAGGCTGAAGTCTTCCTGCCATCAAATGTCCTTTCCTGGGAAGAGAATAAGCTTCACTGTCATCTAGATCACAGAATCATTGGTAGAGGTCCCAAGAAGTTTGGTAGCAGATGAATAAGAATTTTCAATCTGTACAAGAGGAGAGGACAAAAAGGTGTGTTAGTATTAAGCTGGAGACAGGGCACTACAAAATCATAGAAAGCGGCCAGAGCTGCCTAGGTATGAGTTTTAGCCTTAAGGCCTTTCTCCCTCCAAAAAGGGGACCCAATATCACCCGTCCTTAGGGTGATTTGCAAGTCCTAAGATAACAAGGATTTGTGAAGTCCCCCTTCTGGATCCCATATGATTTCTTGGCTACTCAAGGCCACTTGAACAGCTTGTAAGGATTAACCCTTAAAACAGAACAGGAGAAATAAGGTGGGGGGGCAGCTAGGTGGCTCAGTGGATAAAGCATGGGCCCTGGAGTCAGGAGGACCTGAGTTCAAATATGGCCCAGATACTTGACACTTAACTAGCTGTGTGACCCTGGGCAAGTGACCTAACGCCATTGCCTAGCCCCCCCCCAAAAAAAAAAGAAAAAGAAGGAAAGAAGGTGGGGTGTTGTAGGTGATCTTACACCTGAGACGAAGTGTCAGGTTCAAGATTCCTTCATTCCTGGTCTCTCCTATTGCCACTATCTTGAGACAGTGAGAGGAGGTGGGGGTGGGGGGTGGGTGGGGAGGGAATTCTCTTTGTCCTCCTCTTATAAATTTCAAGTGTGGTGTCACTGGGAAACTTTCAAGTGAGCAGTAGTAGCAGCAACAGGTTCACACTCATTATTTAGTGGGTAACAAAACTATAAGCATAAATGATAACTGTGTGCCTAAATGCTAGGCATTTTAAAAAAGGCCAAAACAATCCCTGCTCTCAAGGAGCTCACAATCTAATGTGAGGGAGGACAATTTGCAAATGATTATGCATAAAGAAGATATGGACAAGATAAGTTGGGAGTAATTTCAGAGGGAAGGGATTAGTATTAAGGAGGAATGGGAAAGACTATTTGTAGAAGAGAAGTTTTAGCAGAGACTTGAAGGAAGCCTGCAAAGCCAGGAGGTAGAGATGAGGTGGGAGTGCATTCCACACACAGAGAATGGCCTTTGAGAATGCATGAATTCAGGAAATGGAGTGTTAGGTAAGGGAGGTCAGTGTCACTATATTGTACAGCACAATGGAGGAAACTAAGATTTAAGACCAGAAAGGTAGGAAAAGGACAGCTTATGAAGGTCTTTAAAAGCCAGAGGATTTTATATTGAGCCACTGGCATTTATTGAACAGGGAAGTGACGTAAGATTGCATACTAGAGTAGGGAACAGAATCTCAGGTGTGGATGTGTAGCTGGCTGGGAGTGAGTATATGTTTGTGGGATTGTTTGTGTCTAGAGGGTTTCTTGTCAAAGGTTACTGAAGCAGCTTTTACAGCAGGGGAGAAGTCACAGTTGCATTCAAGATCTGGCCTATGGGGACTAAACTGGAGTTGCCCTGTGGATGCACTGAGAGAAGACCCAGGTGGAACTAGCTACTTTCCTCTTGTTTGATGGAAGGCCACAGATAGAAGGACCTTAGAACCCTCTGGGTCAACCTGAGAGGAGGCAAGAAAGCCCAATTGAAATCAAACTGGAAAGATAGTTACCTTTTGGGGCTTCTGCACTGTGTAATAAATTGTATTCAAGGCTTCTTCTTCTTTTGGAGGATTGGAGACAATTGCCTATAAAAGATTATTATGATGACACTTACTGTGTGACCCTGGGCAAGTTACTTAACTCCAATTGTCTTACAAAAAAAAATGATTATCATGAGTCCCAGTCCTCAGACTAGCCTGGAATATTAGCCCATACTTTCCCCTTATCTCTTTCCTTGGTGCTTCCCAGGTCTCATTTTCATCAAAAAGACCCTCCAGATCTCAGATCGAGGCTCAGTTCTACCTAATGCATTGCTTCAGTGCAGGGGCAAGGATTGGAGTAGGAGAAGGGCAAGATTTTTTTTACCATATAAAAGTGTCACTACATGGTCAAACCCTCCAGCTCATATCTTCCTCATCCTGGTCCCCGACAGAAAGAGATCAAACTTACCTTGGGTATGCTAATTTCATCATAGAGTCGGTTTTCTGAAAGTGGGGGAAGGTCTTTTGGGGTCATGATCTGGGAAGCGGATACTGAATCAGCATCTACGATATACCAAATTCACAGATTCATGGCATGTTAGAGCTTGGTAGGAACCTTAGAGATAGTCAAATGTCCCCTCACTTTTTACAGGGGAGGGAATGGATGCCCAATAAAGGAAGATGATTTCTCCAAGGAAGGGGGTTGAGTTTCCTAGTGAGTAGAGGGATACTGAACAATGAGTCTAATTGGATTCAGCCATTTCCCACAACCCTACACTAACAGAGGGAACCCCGAACTCACAAAAGAAATGAAGCTAGGGGTAGAGGGTTCTGGGAGCTATAGAGATCTTATTTATTTATTTTGTGGCAATTGGTGTTAAGTGACTTGTCCAGGGTCACACAGCTAGTAAGTGTCAAGTGTTTGGTCTGAGGTCACATTTGAACGCAGGTCCTCCTGACTTCAGGGCTGGTGCTCTATCCACTGTGCCACCTAGCTGCCCTGTCCTATAGAAATCTTAATGGATACCCCAGAGTGACCTCTTGTTTTAAGAGGAGCACAGAATCATTGTGGTAAGTGTGGGACTATCATTTTTTGACTTTTATCACCAATAAAGTCAGACACTTTGCCAACAAAAGTACCCCCAGTGGTCAAATTAATAACACTTATTTATTAAAATAATACTTAAAAAGCACTTTATTACTAGTATCTTTTGAGTAAGGCAGCATATTTATGTCCACATTTTAGAGATGAGAAAACTGAGGCTTAGAGAAGTAAAGTAACTTACCTATGGTCAGTTATTAAATGCCTGAACTGGAATTCAAACCCATGATTCTTAACCCCAAGTCTAGAAATCTTACCACTACAGTACACTATACTACATTGACCTTTGTGAATCTTTTTTCATGTTATTGTTTTGTTGATTGCTCATGTCCAACTCTTCTTAACCCCATTTGGGGTTTTCTTGGCAAAGATGCTGACCATTTCCTTCTCCAGATCATTTTACAGATGAGGAAACTGAGGCAGAGTTAAGTGACTTGCCCAGGGCCCACACAACTAGTAAGTATCTGAGACCACATTTAAACTTGGGTCTTCCTTAACTTCAGGGCTACTGCTTTATCTACTGTGTCACCTAGTTGTCCTCTTTTTACTTAGGGAAGGTCATGTGGGATATTTTTAGAGTTCATTTTGATTAGAGTTGGTGGTGATATAGGGTCTATCACAGATATAATAGTGACATCTTAATAATCAAAATAACTTATATTTTTGTAATACTTTAACATTTAGGGAAAATTTCCTTACCGCATCCCTATTAGTCAGGTTGTACTAGCATTATTATCTTTATTTCATGTAGAAGAAATCCGAGGTTAGAAGTTTTAACACAGGGAAGCAAATCTAATGTAATAGGCATCAGGGTCTACCCTCTGACATGAAGGACGAGGTTCAATGTTTTTGGGGGGCGTGGGTCATTTCTCTACCTGATAACACATATGGCTTATTTTTGCCCCCATCCTCTTTCTCCTAGGAACATCATAATTTGATTCATTTCTCTCAAAAATCTTCAGTCTACTGCCAGTACCAGACTAAACACAAACATTAAACATAGAATAGATTTAAGTCAATTAGGAAAACTGTAAACATTAGTATTTGAATTCTTAGCATAGAAATTGGTAAGAATCTTTCAGGAAGTTCTATTTTTCTCCCCAGAAGTTTGGCTGCAGTCCTTGCAAACTTGTAGCACTAGTCAATGAAGCCCTTTTCTTTTGTAATACAATTTTGGGTCACAAGGTTGGATAATAGTAAAAATATCAATATAGCAATTACTGCGTGCCAGACACTGTGCTGAGTGCTTTACAATTATTATCTCATTATTATTATCTCATTCAGTCCTCACAACAACCCTGAGAGGTGGGTGCTATTCTTTCTCCATTTTATAGATGGGAAAACTGAGGCAAAGAGGTTAAGTGACTTGCCCAGGATCATACAGCTAGTAAGCATCTGATGCTGGATTTGAACTCAGCCTTTCTTGACTCCAGGCACTATGCTCTAACCCAGGTGTGGGGAATCTGAGGCCTTGAGGCCACCTGGGGCCCTCTAGGTCCTCAAGTGTGGCCCTTCTGACTGAATCCAAACTTCTGTTCTGTGAAGACCCTCAGTTGTCTCTCCCCTTGGAGACTGGAGGGCTGGGGGTGGGGTGGAGGTATAGAGCAATAAATGATTTCCAAAGCTTCCCTTTTTAGAAAGGGCTCGGAATTTTCCAGCTAACTTCATTTCCTATCACATGCTCTGCTTGGTCTTAACTCCATGAATATCATCATGAACATCATTATGTTACTTTACCGCAATCCTGGAGCCTCTCTCCTTTTCAGCTTCCTTTTACATATTGTCTTTCTTCGTTAGATTATAAGCTCCTTAAGGGCAGGGACTGACTTTCTTTTTCTTATTTGTATCCCCAGTATTTAGCATAAAGCCTGTGGGCAGCTAGGTGGCACAGTGGATAGAGCACTAGGCTTGGAATCAGGAAGACTCATCTTCCTGAGTTCAAATCCAGCCTCAGACAGTTGCTAGCTGTGAAACTCTGGGAAAGGCATTTAACCCTGTTTGCCTCAGTTTTCTCATCTATAAAATGAGCTAGAAAAGAAAATGGCAAACAACTCCAGTATCTTTGCCAAGAAAACCCCAAATGGGGTCACAAAAAGTTAGACATGACTGAATAACAACAACACGATACCCAGAGAGGACCACACTCTCTTCCCACCAACATTTAAGTAGTTGAAGCTAATGGTTAGCATTGTAAGGATATAATACTAATATGTGTGTAATGGCTTCCTAAATCTAGACCACTGAGCTAACACTGTGATAATATCTTATCATTTCCAGTGTCTTCACAGAGATAAGAATGTTGCTAGACGTTGCAAACCCATATCTCAGTTGCAGCTCTATTTCTCTCCTTGAGTGAAACAGTTACCTTGCACTAAGTAACAATTTGCTATCCCATGAAACTTTCTTCACTTAAATTTACACTACAGCTTAGTTGGAAATTGCTTGTAAAGAGAAACCACTTGACCGGTAGTGGAAATGTCAGTCAATTCATTTTTCTTTGACATGACTTGTAATAGCAATGAAGTTTCTTCCTGACTTTTACCTTAAATTGTGCTGGGAGCTGTAGGTTTTCCCATGACATTAGTAAATTCTTTCCAGCTCAGTGTTAATGTATGTGAAAATGCAAAATGAGATGAACATAAAATGCTCTTATTAGAAAGGTCATGAAAAGGCAAGGGAATGTGGAAGGGCATGATTCCCCAGGGCCCTAGGGACCTCTTTGTGTTTAAAGAAACCAAAATCTAAACTAAGGAAGAAGAGAATACGTTTCTTTCTACCTCCCCAGAACCCCATACCTTTTTTTTTCTTGTGTTGTAGATAAAACAATATCCCAGCTGACAGGACTAATACCAGGAGAGGCACCAGTATAAACCAAAGTGACCTGGAAGACATTGGCATTCCTGAAAGGAGAAGAGAAAACAAGTGGCAAGGGAACTTCCTGAATAACAACAACAACAAACAAAATAAAAAACAAAAACAAAACAAAACTAGACTTTTCACTGAACAGACCCAGGGGGTAAGTGGGCTCACTTAAATCCAGGTTCTTTGCTGGGGTCATGTCCTACCCTGAAGTCCAGGAAAGATCCACTCCAGGGAGATTGGGAATGTAGTCTCTTATGGAGATTGTGCTTTTGCTCTCCTGGGAATCTAGATCGCAAATTCTTCATCTTTGTTCATAATGCTAGTCATGTCACTCCCTTGTTCAGAAATCTTCAGTGGCTCCCTATTACCTACTAAGTAAAATCCAGACTCCTTTACCTGGCATTCAAGATCCTCTACTATCTGCCCCATCTCTCTACTTTGCAAGATTTACATCATATTCCTCCCCTCTATGCATTCTACTGTCAGCCAAATGGGGCAACGTATTCTGTCTCTTGAATATTCCTTGTACTTTCATGCCTTTTTCCTCCCACTGTTCTTTATGTCTATAATGTTTTTCCTCTCCCTCCTGACAAGCAGTATGATGTAGTAGTGAATAGAGTATTGTGTTTGGAATCATTAGGACCTGGGTTCAAATTCTGTCTTCATATTTCACTGGTCACCAAAACTTTCCCCCACGGCCACTGGGACCTAGCTTACCTACTTTCAAGGTGGGAAAAATCAAAGCCTGTGCCATTGCTTACTAGAAAGGGTGTGACAATCTACTGGCTATTAAGCTTCTCTCTATATGCTTGTGTTTTAGGGTCAAAGGTTGAATATACTAAAATGTTCTTTTTCCATTTCACACTCCTTTGTCCCCATCCACCTCAGCCATATCCCCCCTGAATTCTTTTGTTACTTTGTCTTTGTCTTTTGTTAAGCCCTCTTGGATCTCTGTTGTTAATAAACTTTTCTAATCAGACGTTTTCCTCTTATACTCATTTCATTCTTTTTTCCACTTATCGAGGCATCTAGGTGGTGGAGTAGATAGAGTGCTCAGCCTGGGAGTCAGGAGTCAATAAACAAATGCAAAAAACATTATGATAGCCCATAAGCAGTTCGTATAATTTTCCATAGTGAGTCCTATGTTTTAACCTAAGTCCTAAGGTTCTTTTAATCTGTAACTACTTTATGGCTTGTGCTCCTCTCAAAAAAGAACAGAAAAAGGGAAGGGAAAGAGTCTGCATGCTTCTTGCTTCTCAGAGCCATTTTCATAGCTTCTTTCTGCTTTCATTACTCAGCAACCTCTCCATTCAGCTTCATTCAGTTTGGATATTTCACCTTATCTAGATCCTGGTTGCTGTCATCTAATGGCCACCAAGGCATTCTCCATCATCATTCAAGGAGTTAACAGCTCTCTTTGTTTGTGCTTGGAGACTTCAACACTGTATTCCTATCACCTCAAACAGATGAGCATCTCAGTTCTTTGACCTCCCCGTCTTCTATGATCTCCCCCTTTATTCTATCTCAGCTACTCATTCCTTGATGTCATCATCACTTACAGACTCTCCATCTTCATGACCCAGAGTACTGAAATTCTTCTCTCAAATCATAACCTCTCATCCTTCCATCTCTCCTTCTGCTTCATCCGTTTTACACATGATATTCATCCTTATTGTGGACTCCTGTCATTTTGTGTGTCCTTGATTTTCTAGTTCATTACTCTTACTCTGGCCAAATTTTCCTACCTTCATAACCTTCACCATATAATGAATCCTATCAAACCTACACTGTTCTTTATCCTTTAATCCCATGCTACCTAGTCTTATTTACCACTTATTGCTTTTCCAAAACTTGACCATGGGTTAATTCCATCACCTGCTTTGCTCTTCCCCCCTCCCCTCCCCACTCCTAGAGCTGGTAAACATTGCTGGAAGAAGTCACACAACTGTGCTGAGTGCATCCACTACACATTTATGTTATCTAAGCTCAGTTGGGCCCTTATTGTAGATCACTAAGCTTTTTGCCCTTATCTTGGCAAATTTCTATTTAATTCCCCACAGGGTTGTTCCAAACCTTTTCTTCCCTCAGCCCACTTAAATGATTCTCCCTTACTCACTCCCAGGAAAGGTCTTTGTCTTATACTTTACTGAAAAGTAGGGGCTATCTATAATGAGTTTCCTCTTTTTCTAACTCTACACCTCAATATCTTCAACATCGTCCCCCATTCTCTCCTCTTTTGTTTCCATATTAGAGTATAACTTGGCCCTTCTCTTTGCCTTGGTCAACCTGGCTACTTGGGTCCTTGAGCTTTTCCCCTCTGGTCTCTTTCAAGAGTTTGCCCCATCATTACCTTTTCTCTTTTTCTAATCTTCAGTCTCTAATTCCTTCCTTGCTGCTTATAAACTTATGCAACTCTTCCCCATAACTATAAAATCTTCATTCAACCCTGCCATCCTCTCTAGCTATCATCCTATACTTTTACTCCCTTTTACAACTAAAAAATAGCATTCTCTGTCTCTATTTACTCATCAGTTATTCACTGTATAAATTCTTGCAGTTTGGTTTCTGATTCAACCACTCAGCTAAGGCTGCTCGCCCCAAGATTACCAATGACTTCTTAGTTGCTAAATAAAATGGACTTTTTTCAGTCTTCTTCACTCTTGATCTCTCTGCAGAGTTTGACACTGTTGAGCATTCCTTCTTCCTAGATTCTCTCTCCTACTTGAGTTTCACTAGTTCTCCCCCACCCCAACAAAGTCTTTCCTCTTTTCTGCATGACTATTCCTCATTAACAATGTTCCATCCCCTAAGCATGGATGTACCCAGGGGCTCTGACACAGGTCCTATTATCTTTCACATATGTATGCTCTATCTTGGTGGTATCAGCTTCCATGAGTTCAATTATAATTTTTATTCATATGATCTAGTCTTTATCTTATAAAGATCTAGCCTTTATCTTATAAAGAAGGTGGTTTCATTATAGACTCATTCTTGACCACTGGCTCATCTAATCTTTATCTGTTACCTAAATTCTAGACCCATATCATCAACTGCTATTGAACATCACCTGGATTACCCTTAGGCAGATACTTCCCAAACAGAAATTATTATTGTTATCTCTAAACCCACCCCTCATCCTGACATCTCTATTTTTGTCAAGGGCACCATCAATCTGACATCTACCTAGGTTTCCAAATTCAGAGGAATCTTTGCTTCATTCTTCTCCCTCATTCCACCTATGCAATCATTTGAAAAGTCTTGTAGAGTCCATCTTCATAACATCTCTCATATTTTTCTTCTTCTTTGGACTCAAATGGCCACCCTCCCATTCAGCATCTTATCACCTCTTACCTGGACTTTTGTAAGAGTTTTTAAAATCGTCTCCCTCCTTCCAATTTCTCTCCTCTCCAATCCGTCCTAAACACAGTCAACAAAGTGATATTTCTATAACCTGGCTCTGACCATGTCACACCACCCTCACCCCCTTCAGTGGTTCTCAGTAGACCCTCCCTAGGATAAAATACAAATTTTTCAGCCTGACATTTAAAGTCCCTCATTATTTGACTCAGTTTACCTTTTCAGACTTATATTACTGCCTCTCATATACATTTCAGGCCCAAATTGACTTATTTGCTATTCCCCAAACTTGAGATTCCCGTCTCTGTGCCTTTGTATAAGTTGTCCTCTATGCTCGGGATGCTTTCCCTCTTCTCCTCACCATCTTGATTTTCCTAGTTTCTTTGAAGGCTTACATTGGGTGCTATTGCCTATGGGAGTTCTTTCCTAATCCTTGATCCTCCCAGTTGTTAGTGCTTCCTCCCTACCATTACCTTACGCTTACCTTTATATATTCTCTATTTACTTATTTGCATATGTTATATCTCCCCCAACGAAAGTAAACTTTTTGAGGCCAGGAACAACTTTTCTTTTTCTTTGTATGTGCTTAACACAGTGCCTTGCATATTGTATTCACTTAAAATATACTGCTTGGTTAATTACTTGTTTTGTGATTTGAACAAGTCTATTAGTCTTAATTTCCTAAGTCTTTATTCTCTTTATGTTGTGGGGATCAAATGTGATAACATATGCAAAGTATTTTGCAAACTTTAAACAACTGTAATAAAATCAGTTCTGTAATAAATTAATCTTTAATTTGCATTCTTTAAAGGCTAGTTCAAAGTCTGTCTCCTCCATGAAGTCTTCCCCAACCCAACTATAAAAAAGTAACCTTCCCGCTCAGACTTTAGGGAGCACTTTTCTTTATACCTCTTTAATGTATTTGTAAAGTAATATTATCATAGTTATATGTATTAGTATGGCCCCTACTAGAATGTAAGTCCCATGAGGGTCAGGGACTGTGCCTTTTTTTTCAGTATGTAACACAACACAGTCTTTAGTAGACTTTAATAAATTTGTTGAATAAAATTGAATTGAAAAGTGCTTGTGACCTCGCCTGGATTTGATTTCTATCTTCATTGGGTTCTATCTTGAAACTGCCCATGTAAAGACCAGACCTTCTGGGGCCTATTTCCTACAGCTGCTCAGGGTGTTTCCTGAGGCTTTTGGGAAGAAGGGACAGATGATTACCTGCACAAGGATATTGAACAAGTTTGGATTGAGAATTGTTGCTGACAGGGTTCATGGCTGTGCAGGTGTAATTTATGGGAGCATCTTTCAGGTCTTTGGAAGATGAAAAGCCTAGATTTCCCATTGGATTCAACAGCTTGTTCTCCCAGAGGAGTCCACTGGTACTTCACAGCTTCTCTTCCCTCCTCCATGAAGCACGTCAGAGTGATATTACAGGTGTTGTTCTCAGAGGCTACAGTATTCCAAGTAATTTTTGGTGGTGCCAGTCGTCCTATAGGATGGAACAATACAAGGCATAACAATGAGTCTACAATGAAACCATCTTCTTTATAAACTTTGTTAATTTGTCCAATTTTGAGCTCTCTATAAGTCAATTTTGAGAAACATTCTTGCTGAAGCAGCTTATATGCAAGGCAAGCAGATGAAGACTTTGGAGTCATTTTCACCAAAGTAGTAATTCCAAGTAGGAAAAGTACACGGACAGAAGAGAACCAAGGACACAACCTTGAAGAACACCCATATTAAAAGATGAAGAATAACAAGGAGAGTTACTGAAGGGGACAGAAAAGGAGCATTTAGAGAAGTAAGAGGAAAACTGAGAAAATATGCAGATTTTTAAATCAAGGGGAAAGAAAGTACTCAGTGAGAGGAAACTTTAGGATCACAGAAATGATCAACAACATGACATGTTGCAGAGATTTCAAGGGGGAAGAAGACTGAAAACAACCCCATGGAATCTGGCATTTATAAAGTTATTGAAAATGTTAGAGAGAACAGTTTCCATAAAGTCATTGGAGCTTGGGCTATTTTATAAAGGGTTGAGAAGGTGAGTAGTATGTAAGAAGAGCCATTGGGTATAGAAGGCATTTTTCAGGAGTTTAGCAGTGGATGATAGGAGACTAATAGGAAGGTAGCTGGATGAATGACAAGGGTTAAGGAAAGGTTTTTTTTTTTTAAGATTAGAGAGATCTGAACATTTTTTGTAGGCAAATGGGAAAGAGCCCATGGTGAGAGATGCAAGGGCAAAATCTGGACTTGCCAGAAGACAAGACCCATGTTCTTTCTAGCCCTCTTTCCCCCTCAGACTTTCTAGTATAGTGCTGAAGTCTTTTACTAATAGCCACTGAATGGTCCAGGGAATACTTGATTGAAAACTTTAGTTTTCTTTTGAAAAATAACTTGGAAAATAACCCAGTGGAACAAAACAAAACAAAATCAGGAAATCCCATTTCTTTTCTAGTTTTGGTACTATGCATGTGACCTTAAGCAAATCACCTCACTTCTCTGGGCCTCAGTTTCCTTGGATGAAAAATGAGGGTTTGGACTAGAGGACCTCTTTGGTCTCTCAGCCCGAATATTCTAAGAGTCCACTACTATAGTCTTACTGTAGACATGCAGGGTATAGTTCTTGGTGATGGTGATGGTAGAAGTTGCAGAATTCTGAAGATTTATGTCAGCTCTGTAGAATCCAGCATCCTCCATCTTCAGGGGGCTAATCTTCAAGTTATACGTGTTGGGTGGGACATTCAGTCGTCCCCTATAATTTTGATGGGTTGTAATGACCTTGAAAGATTGTCCTTCTGGTTGCACAAGAGCAACAGGTGTACGAGAGGCCCAGTTAATGTTCTCAAGTTTATGTCCACTTGGTATTTCTGCAGGTAGAATAGCTGACTCTTCCAGAATCCCTGTCACCATTACTGGGGCATAATTCTCTCTGGAAGCTCTTGGCTCTGTAGAAGCAAAAGAGAAACTATAATAGCAATTAGACTTGATTCCTATCCCATAGCATTCCCTTAGCACCACAGCCCAGGATTTGGGATAAGTCCTGTAGACACCATCATAAAAGTAAATGAGGAGCCTTGGAAGATAGTGAGTCCCCCAGTCATTGGAGCTCTTCAAATAGAGATCTGATAAGAACTTTCCGGGGGGAAGTTGTACTAGGAATTTGTTTGGGTATAGGTTTTATTATATGAACTCTGATATCTTGTGATTTTTCTTAGTCCAACCTCATATAATTCCTTGAGGAGGCACCCTTTTGTGGTATTACTCCGTAACCTCCCTCCTTCAAGAATACTTTCAGTGTAGGGGATTCTAAGGATTTTCTGTGTGAAAATTTACATGATATCAGTATATCAAACACAGTGCATATTTGTTGGTGTGGGAATTTCTTGTATCAACTCAGGCACAGGCTATCTATAATTGAAGAGATAAATCCTGGAGAGTGGCTGAGATTCAGTCATTAAGTGAATTGTTCAGTTTACTACAAGTAGTAAGCTTCAGAGGTAGACTTTGAATTCCCACTGTCCTGATTCCCCTTCCAGTACTCTCTCTACATATTTGCCATGCAAATTTGGGTGTTAATGCTCACTTTATAGAAACAACCACAATTGGATTCATCTAACTGCCCAGCTACCTGTAGGCCTATTTCAGGATTTTGGCTTTGTGTCCCCATCAGGCAGTTGGTAAGTTTTGAGAGTCACAAAGAGTGGAAGGAAGAGATTCTGGAGTCAGAGGACTTAGGTTCAAATTCCACTTGTGATCCCTACTGACTTTATGATATTGGACAAGTCACTTAACCTCCTTGAGCTTAAGTTTCTTCATTTGTAAAATGAGGGTCTGTGTTAAAATTGTTTCTTGTTATGCGCACCCTGACCCCCCCCCCTTTTAGCTAGTACTGTAACATTATAGGTAGTATAAGTTGACAGTAGTAGGAAGTAAGATTGCCAAAGGAAACTAGAAATCACTTATAGGCTGTCCCATTAATTAAGGGAGCATAACAGTTACTTGCAAACTGTCTCATAAACTAGGGAGTGTAGGAACCACTGGAACCTGTCTCATAATTTAACTAAGGTCACATCCTGAGGTGATGTGCTAAAGTAGGGGAAACCAGCTAGGTAAGGGGCTCTTGGTTTTGCCAACTGCTCATCATCTGTAAGCCTCAGCTAAGCTTCAAATATGTATAGTAAGATAAGCACAACACCAGCAAAGTGTTATGCCAATGAACCAGTCCTCAAGTGTTGCTGATAACTTTGAGATGATGTGTATATGTTAATGAACTAACCATAAGGTGACATGGATAAGAGTTAATCCATCTTCTACCACCAAATTCCCATTAAAATGAGACCCCAAACTCTTACACCACCCCTCCACCCTAGGCACTCCTCTGTCTGCTATGGGTCTGTGCTGCCTTGGTGCTCCCAACTCTGATGGGTGGTTGTGTAACTGACTCTCTATACCTCTCCTCCTCACCATTTTCTTCCCTACATTGCCTTCTTCGCTCCACCATCTCATTCTGTGTGCCTATACCATCTGTCTCTACTTTCTGTGCTATTTCTTTCTGTTCTCTCTGTGCCTTATTAAAGTATGATTGAAGCATTACTTCCTGCTTGCTGCCATTGTGGTCTTTCCTTGTGAGTATCCAGAAAAAAACCCACCAGATGTACCTACCCCAACCCTGACCCAGAGGGACCCTCTAAGAGTCCCATTCCCTTGCTCATAAATTGGGAATATCAGGACTGAAACTATAAGCTATTCATAGCTGCCCCTACCTAAAAGAGCTAGGTGTAGTAAACTCCTGGGTAGAAAGCAAGAGGGGATAGCTGAACTTCATGTTCTCTTCTAGGAGATTTCCTCCCTTTTTGTCTGGGTCATAATAAATCAATTTAATAATTCCATAAGTTAATTGGTAATTCAGAGGTGTTGAGTAGATGGCCTCTGAGATCCCTTCTGGCTCTAGCTCTATGTTCTTATGAATACTTAACCCTCTAGTTGTGAGAGACACAGCCTGATACAATGAAAAGAAGGCTAGCCTTGGGATCAGGAGAACCTGATTTACAATCTACCTCTGATACTTCATGTATGATCCTGGGTAAGCCACTTAAACACTCTGCACCTCATACAACTCACTTACATTTTAATTCTCAGAATAATTGCTTCTCTGCATTGGTTGATGGAGTTTCCTTACTGGGAATTCCCTGCATGGATGATGTAATATTTCCATACAAAAATTATAAAAATTCAACTTACATATAATTTGTTTCATGGAATATAACTGTTATGTGATGTGAAGTTCAATTGTATCTTTGTCCTTACAGGCTAATGATTGAGAGCTAACTGGAGTCTGAGATAAAGGAGGAGGACTTCCAACATTTAGTCAAATTTCTGCTCAATTAGAACCTTGCTAAAATATTGCAAGAAGTACTTTGGTATAAAACAGAGGATAAGGGCAAGACAAATCCAAAGAAAAGAGTTTGGAAATTGTTTCTATTAAAGACTCCTTTTCTATGGGAAGAAAGAAACAGACTGTGCTCCCAAAGCAAGTTATTAGGTCAAGAAATTTTGCCATTAGTGACCTTACTCTCTCCTTTCTGTGACTTTTCCACCCTCTTGGTAGGGTTTCATCTTTTATCTCTGATGCAGAGGTCTCCTATTCTCACCTATTATGGTGCTCTCTGATCTGTATGTCATATGAAACCTTACTTTCCTCAGATTTCATTTATATTAAAGAATAAAAGACTGATAGAGTTTAGTGTATTAAACTAAATTTCCCAGGGGCTTTTGAGCTTCAGCAGTGATCAAAACTTTAAGCTAGAGGAATGACTCACAAATGGTGAAATAGGAGACATTGGGAGGAGTGGCATTTTGAGGAGCTAAGGGGCCTTTCTAGTGGTGCTGAATTCATATCCTATGGATGACAGCTTGTTCCATGTACCTGTTATGTTGGCCTTGTGCCGCAGGAACCAATAAGGAGGATACAAAGATCCTAAGGGTCCCTGAAAGGCTCTATTCCTTCAACTTCAACATTTACTAAGCACCTACTGCATGCAGAGTGCTATGTTAGGTGCTGAGAGAGATACAAAGTTTAGATGAAACAATTCCTGCCCTCATAGTGCTTCTACTCTGTAGGGGGCTAAAAGCTGTACAGATAATTCTCATTGATAATGACACATGGAAAGTGCATGAGAGTTCCAAAAAAGGTGTTATGTGAAGTCTTGAAGTATTGAGCAGTGGAGTGGGGAAGACTCCTTACAGGGAATACATATCAAGAAAAGTTTTATGGAGGAGATAGCATTTAATGGAGACAGAAAAGAATTCCAAGGAATAGAGAACTATGTAAAGAAAGTCATTGAGTTGGCAGAGTATAGGATCTATATGGACAACAGCAAATAGTCTATTTTGACTGGAATTTATATTATATAGAGGGGAATGATATGAAATAGATTGGACCTATAGAGTGGTGCCAAACTATGGATGTCTTAAATACCACACAGAAGAGACGGACCTCTACTTTAAAGGCAATAGGGAAGCACTGCAGATTTTGTGGCAGAGGAATGCATAGATTTGTACAGAAGGAAGATTAATCTGGCAGTGGCATGAAGGAAGAGGAGAGACAAGAGGCTACGATGCCTGTCTGGAGTCTACTTAGTCTTTGCTTTGCTGCCTTCTTTGCATCCTTGCCTTAAGTCTCCATTTGCAGCTCACAGACACCTACAGGCGTATCACTGACAACTGGCCTTATTATCTAGGGATCTTGCGGATGAGGGAGGCCCTGGTGAAGTACTCCACCTCAGGAGGCTGGAAAGTGACAAATAAGAACATTTCAAAAAGAGCTGAAAAGACCAGGACCCTCCCTGGGAGAGTTGAAACTTGGGAAAAATTATAGTGTTCATTTTTCTTATAGTATTTTTTACTCAAGGGCTCTGCCCCTGGTTGACTGTGTGAACCTGGGATAATTTTCCGAATTTCTGAACTTCCATTTCAGTGAGTCAGCACATATTTATTAAATGCTTATACTGTACTAAGTACTTACACCATAAGGATGCAAAGAAAGGCAATCATAGCTCCTGTTTGTTTAGCTTTAATCTTTACAAAGCACTTTCCCCACAATAACTCTGTAAAGGAAACAGCATAAGTAATATTAGCCCCATTTGACAGATTAGGAAATTGAGCCTCTGGGAGGTAAGGGGCTGGCTCAAGATTATACAATGAATAAGTGATAAAATCAGGATTCAGAGGATTATAGATGGAGAGCTAAAACCAGTAGTCTTAGAGATCATCTCATCCCAACACTTCAAATCCAGTGTTCTTTCTATTATGTCAGATCACCTCATCTTCTGGGGGATCCTCATGCCCTTCATTGTGATGTCTCTTGTCTGATCCCTATATTTCCTCGCTTAAATCTTATAGAGGAGACAAAAAAGGAGTGTGTGTGTGTGTGTGTCTGTATGTCTGTTTGTCTGTCTGCGTGTGAAAATTCCAGCAATGCATAACAGGTATCTTAGTATCCATCCAAAAATCTACTGGACAAGATTATTAGATGATCCCCTTTCATATTCCATGACGATGATTGCCATCAATAGTGTTCTGCCTTGATATTTTTTAGAGAATACCACAATTAATATTTCATCCTGATGTTTCTGCAGCACAGAATTATTATTCTACAGTGCTACATTCCCTTAGCATAAAAATGCACATTTCATTCCAAAATACTATGTTGTTTCCATACATTCATGGCAAATCAGTATTTTTACTGCATGTCCAAAAATAAATACAACTCAATTCTTCTGTCTCATTCAGGCCAATAATGGCCTTTGATTTACTTTCCTCTTCTTTCCACACTTTCATTAATGTTTGGTAAAGGGCAAGCTGAATGCAAAAGGAAAATGAAGCAGAAAATTCCAAGATGCCACAAGATGGTGCCCAGTACTCCAAGGTAGCTAGGTGAATCAGT